TTATTTGGGTTAAAGTAAAAAAAAAAAACATTTCTGCGCCCTCTTCCCCAGCATTTGATCCAGTCCTGAGGACAGCTTAGCAGAGAAAGAGGATCCAGTTTTTGGAATTTACATACCACAGCTGGCACATCCGGAGCGCAGTTTACTGGGGCAGGACATTGGAAAGGAGTCAGCAGACCTGGCTTGAGCATTCATAGGTTGCATGGCCTCAAGCAACTCATTTGCCTGTTGTGCCTGATAACTTTTTTAATGATAAACCATACCAAATGACATCATTCTCAGCAATAAAACATGGGGGGAGCTGGGATGGAGTGTGTGTCGAAAGTAGCCATTGCTAGGGGACTGGCTAGGCATCAGTCTGCTGGTGGGAGGTGGTGAGTGAGTGCCTTCGCACCACTTTTTCCTTTTTTATTCTTCTCTTATTAAACTTGACCCAATTTTTCCCTTGCTTTTTGGCCCTTCCGATTCTCTCCCCCATGCTGCTGCAGGGAGTGAGCGATTGACAGGGTTGGCTCTTCCCTGCCAGCCAGGGACAACCCACTGCAGCCTCCAATGGTTGTAGGCCATGGACGTGCATTTAGAAAGCATCGCTATATGCTTACTCAGTTCTTCTGATCTGCTCTATCTGCTACTCCTTTTTCTGTTTTATTTATTATCCAAGCCAGGGTAACCATCTGTGTGGCATTGCTTGAGTTGTGCCACTATTTCACTACTCATTTTCATGTGCTGGTAACTGTTTTTCAACAGTGGCTGGAGTCAGGGCTAGATCCTGACTCCAGGGTCTGCTGAGATCAGCTTTTTTTTCCTGTGGAAAAAAATGTCTTCCTTATGAATGCCTCACAAGCTGCTCAAACCCAAATTCAGAGGAGTTTTAACAAATTTATGGGAAGTTTTTAACACAGTGCTAGAAACTTGAGAGAAATTAAATTGTTCCTTATTTTGATGGAGTTTTACCAACAAAACTTACCTCCACTTAAACTGTATTCAGCAGGGACTCAGGTCGTTACAGCAAGAATATCCAGTCCCTTCAGTATAACTCCGTTTTCCAATTAGTTTTATAGCTACAATCATGTACATGTTCATTTGCTTTTCCTCATTCAGAAAATTCATTCTCCATACAGGACCGGCAGCTTTTGAACTGTCAAATACTTGCTTACCTATGTACTGGTTTTCTGTAACTTTTGATAACATAGCTGATATGGTGATGTTCTCCTTTGATGACAGGCAGCAAGGTGCCAATCTGGAAGAAAACCTTTGACCCCCGATCTCTTTTCATGTGTTCTGACTCCATTTTCCCAGCTGACATCGAAAGCAGTAAAAAAATCTGGTTAGTTGCTAAACTGGTCGGATTGTCCACTCCCACAACCGAAGGTCTAAAGCTATTGTCCACAGTAGCTTGCTCCATCGATGGAAACCACCCTGGAAATCAGGGGGAGAAGAGAGAAGAATGGATAAATCTTCTAATAAAGAATGGACTTGTCTTCCCAGTGTGGATGTAAGCCTGGAGACACTCAACCCACTGAGATCACGACCAAGTTTGGTACTTAACTCTGGATGGGAATTTAGGGACATTATAGGACATTCTCCCACCATCCCTCCCTTTCCAGCAACCCCCTGAAGACTGAAGGTCTTGTAGGACTCCAGGATGGTTAAGAAGATGTGAGGCTATGTCAAGGAAGACCAGCACCTGCCAGTCCACATAGATAAGGTTCTGTAGTGAGACATCCGTCAACTTGAAGTACTGGTATAATAAAGATACTGGATATAAGGATAATGCTTTTCTGAAGGCAGCCTCAAGCAGTCATACTTAGGAGACATGCCCATGCTGGAAGAGACTGGCCTTATCCTAACAGCAATATTTAGGCTGACATCATCAGGCATTGATTACAGAAGAAGTGGATAAGAAAAAGAAGTAACTCTTAAGTTATTTCTGGATACCTGACTTAGTCTACAGCTGGAGCAAGCTCTTCTCCCCCTGTGCCTTTATTGCCTTAGGAGGTTCAAGGCAGGCAGAGAGTAGGTGGCTCTGAGACTAGACCCAAGAGGGAAAATTTAATTGCGATGCTTGGATCTAGATTTGCATGCACAAAGTGGACTGAGGTTTATGAACTGAATTTCAGTGCCCTCTCAGAAGAGAAGGAAGTTTAAACTAGAGTTGAATCTATGATTCTTCCAAAGAAGAGATGAATAAACCCAGCACTGAGAGGGAACAGCTATAGAGTGGAAACCCCATCAGTCTGCTGGAATCTGGCACAGATAAACCACTTGAAGACTGAAAGCTAAGCATCTGTACAAGCTTTTTTGATGTCCTTTAGCGAAGGACATAAATTGCTCCTACAATTGAAGAAGGCCCTAAATATTTCAGAGAAGGCAGACAGAAGAAGAGGATGTATGTGCAGAAGACGACATACTTGGAGAACTATCAAGGTAGGCTGGGGGTAGAGCAGAAAAAAGGGGAGATTGGCCATAGGCCTTGAAGGTCATATGATGACCCTCAACTTTCCTAATTCTCCCTCAAGAGAAGGAGTAATTGGGGGGAAGATGACTCAGAGGGTAGAACACTGAAGTAAATCTCTCACCTCCTCATCCTCTAGCCTCTTGTCCTTACCTGGATTTATCAAGACCGCTTGAAAGCAGTAAGGCTGCCCATCTGAGAAGCATTTCTGGCTGGCAAACAGCTGCTTAGACAAACTACTGGTCACTGGCTACTTGCAAGTTTGAGGCACACTGCTCTGCAAAACAGGACTAAGAAAGCTTTGAAACCTAGGTATAGTTGTCATTCTTCCTCTCTGTGGAAAATGTATGCCAGAGCTTTTCTTCGAATGAGGACAAGACAGTGACCTGGCACAAGGTATCTGCTTCATCCCCTCCTGGCATGCCAGAGACAGAAGAAGCTGTAGATATTTGAAAGTGGAAGAGGAGAAGAAGGCACTTGGTCCCAACAGACTTTCGAACACCTGGTGAGACAAAAGCTGAGGGAACCACACATCTATGGTACAGATAAGCTACAGGCTTTCACTGGCACGGTGAGAAGATGTAAGGAGCAAATGCATCTCTCAAGTGACAGCTTGCAACTAATAAGAATTTGCAACAATATTCTCATATCCAAGAGTAAGTGCCTTTAAAAAGACATCCAATAGGTTTTTAGGAATAAATGTAGAGTGATAAAATCGTGTTTCCTCCAGCCAACAGAAAATTATAAAATGCTAGTGGCTGGGATCTCATGATTTATGGACCACCCACTTCTGCTCTTATTGAGGAAATTCTTCATTAAAAAAAAGCTCCAGCTACATCAGCCTACTGCTTTTACTCAATAATTTTGAGAAATGAGGTTTGGGTGTCTGCATTAATTGGTCTAGAAGTCCCTTTTTCCTATTAAAAGAGACTAATATTGATATCTTTAAGTACTATGTCAATTTAAATGTTATAATGTTTCACAGTCATGTATTTAAACACAGAAATCTGTTTATTTACCCAAACAAAACAGAGGAAATGATTCCAGCCCTCAGGTTTTGAATTCTCATTTAAATATGTGAACATCAGTCCACAATTTAGAGATGTTTGTGTATCTATGTACCTCCAAAATACTCATATTTCATAGGCTTTTTCACATTAATATTCACCAACAGTATCACAAAAGTTCTTTTTCTTTTACATAACTGTAAGCAACAGTAATCCTAGAAACACTAGAGAAAAAAAAAGCATAGCAATGTCCACAGTTACAAGAAAAAGTGCACATTACTTGGTCACAATCACAGTCATTACTTGGAAAACTATATGTAACAAGTAGATATAAAATATCACTGATGCCTTAAACTCATTGTCAAAAATGGAATTACATAAAATTTTGTACATGAAATAAGGCAAATTTAAGAATGCACAAGAAACTTGTTATTCAACAAAAGCTAAACAACAGAACAGATAGTACAGTAAGCATAAACTAAGGTACTTTTTTTTCTATATACTTAAAAATAAGCCTGCCGTAGTGCACAAAGAAAACACCATTAATGTGTAATCAATATTATAAAATAAGAAATAGAGGGGTTGGGGAAGAGTGGGGGAAGGGAAAGAAGAGTTTTATTATAGTTGCAGCTGCATCCATTTACAGATTTGTACAGTTTTTAGCTAGGCCTGGGAATTACACAAATCATACCAGAAGTGTCAATGACCTTCCTCCGTAAGAATTTTGTTTAAATTAAGGAACACAAAATAAATACACACAAGAGTGCAAATTTTCAGATTGTCACTTGCAACCTCTTAACATTCATCATCTCCATCCAATCACAACTAGAGGGACTTGTACAGGGCAGCAGCAGTGATCATGGAGTTAGATGAGCTCACCGTAAGAAATCAATTTATCTTTTTTTTTCCCTCAATGATATGTCTTTTTTAAAAAACCCTCAACTCTTTATTAATTGCTAATAAAGCTGCAATATATTACAGAATGCAGTTGAGAATGGTATGAGTGCAGGAAATGCATGCTTCCTTTGGAAGGTATTCCATAGATGACAATTTACAGTACATGGGGGAAGAATTATCCAGCATCAAGAGTTACTCGTTGTAGAAAGAATATGAAGTCAGGGAGAAGGGCACAGTCAGGGGTTCAAGAGAGGAAGGGGGGACTTACAATAGCTCCTCAAAACGTTTTCAGGACCAGTGAAAAAGTTTACCAAAGTAAAAATGAAAAATCTTGAATGAAAACAAAAATCTTTTGTTTTGTTTTTTATAAAAATTACATTTTTTTAAAATACAAGATCCTTTTAATTGCAATTGTGCCCTGTAGCAACAGGACATTTGGCAACGTTTTGCCATATACTGCAGCTTTAAGTCCAATGAGTCAATATCACATTCCACTAATATTGCACTTGGATCTTGAACCATTTTTTTTTTAAACCATCACAGCATCTTCTGTTTCCTCCACTTGTTAGAACGAGTTAATTTCTAGCCACTTTTTCGATATTTACGCTGACACACTAAAACAAAAGCAATAGGCTGGACACACCCGAGGTTGAAGTTCACTTGAAGCACCTTAACACATCACTTTATGGATCAAGAACAGTGTGGCATTATGGTAATTAACTCTCCTAAAAGACTGTGCAGTAACTGAAGTGTGTGCTCTGGGAAATCAAAATGTCATTAGTGGAAACTCCGAGATAAGACCAGGCCGGTGTGAAGGACATGTGACTCAGTTCTGCTGCAAAATAAGGTTTTCCAGTTCGTCTGCAGAACGCAATAAAAATGCAGCTGACTCTCGATACCCTGCCACAAGCTGCCTCACTGCATTTATTTCAGTTGGACTCAGCTGGGGTCTAGAGCTTGAACTACTGGAGGATCCAGAGCTGGTTGCTAATTGCCTCTTCATACTGAGATCTGTCGGACCTGCAGATAACAAAGGAAAAGAAAAGAAGCTTCAGATCCGCTGCCAGAGACATTTCACAGGTTTGTAGCTACCAGCACAGAGTAGCAAAATCTGCTCTCAGCTGAGTGCCAGTGAGAAGTAGCAGAAACAAGCAATTGTTCAGTTACCAGCTGCCTCGACAGGAACCACAGCGATTTATGTTTATATATGACAGATATCCTTTACATTCTACTTACATAACACGAGGGGCAAGTCCACTCCCAGCAGAAAATCAGTCTCTGGAGGGGGCATCCCAACAGTGCAAGCAACTTGCACCCCAACACTGCCCTGGGATCTGCTGCTGGTGAGCAGGCAGCAGGTTCATCTCCAGCCCCAGCTGCCATCATAGCCTTCACGGCAATCTGCACACTTGCAGTTTTTATCACAGAATATCAAATTTATGTTCTCTAGAATATCTGTTTTCGTGTTTTATGCTTCAATCAGCATGCAGCCAGATTGTGTATCCCTTACAGACACAGATAAATGGTCATTCACTTGACTAGCCCTGACGCCATGTGATCACATATGTAAATCACTGGTCATGAATGAGATTAGGCTGGTGACAATCCGGCTGCTACAGTGAGGAGTACGCTACCATCTGCGGGGGCTGCATACAGCTGGCAATATATAGCAAGGATCTTGTAAGGCCTGAACACTGACAGGAGCATCTGCAGCAATCACTGTGTTGCCCTGGCTGCTTATACCAATATGCTTGGCACTTTTCATCATGGAATAGTCTCAAGACCACGTATGTTGTGTGCAGAAGACAGCACTCCTGAGGGCAACCTGCAGGTTACCACGATCAGGAAAACCATCTGCCATCATGAAGAGAGGCTTTCTATGGAATTGCCCTGGTTGTTTGACCAGTTATTAATCAGCTAAGATGCATGATGCTTTGATGAGGTGTTTGGGTTTTCCACTTAACACAACACATTTTTTTTCTTCCTGGAATGTAAATGTGGACAGGTAGAACTGGACTGAGGACTTTTTTTAAACAGAAGGATACAGATGGCAATTACACCTATCAAGCAGTTTACTATGTGCAAACCTGTAAAAATACTGCTCGTTCATTTTGACAGTGTAGCAAATCCATACTTCTGGCAGGCAGAAGATCAGCCTAGCCTGATCCCAGTCTTAATACTCTCCTTGAAATTGAGATCAAGTTATCCAAAGCAATGCATCTTGCTTTCCTATGAGAAAAACGTCACTATTCAATTTCATCTGGACAATGCATGTCAATGACAAGGTTTCTCAGCATTGGTTCATTGGATGGACCTTGCTTCCTAAAAAGACTGGAATAATTTTAAAATTTATCATATTCAACTGTAGAATTACAGAACACACCAATTCATATGCCAGAGGTTCTCCTAAATAATCCCACCAGAATCACAAGATTCAAAACCAGACTTGCTAACTTAAGCACTAATGGAAAGAGATGTACTGATTTCCAGAAGCAGAAGAGCTGATCATAAAACTTACTTATTTTATCTTTCTTTTATATTCATGCAGACATACAGCTGAGACTGCAAAGAATGTGGAGATTGCCTTGACACTCACTGAAGTTAATGAAAATCTTCCCTTGAGTGAATGAAAGCAGAGCTGGGACTATGAAAAGAAACTATGAAAAGAAACTACTCAAACAGAAAGGATCCTGTTAGATCTTATTTCCTGCTATGCAACTAGCATGAGCAGCACTTAGCCTTACAACGGTATTATGCAGCTTTACACTAGCATAAATGAACTGACTTTTAAATGACTTCCAGCATACAAAGGATAAATAAAAGGACAATTAGCTCAGTGAATTTGTTTCGGTGTGACCGCACGCTGCAGGAAAATGATCACAGTGTGAAGAAGCTCAGAGGATATTTCTAAGTAAGATCTTAACCCAGCACAGAGAAGAAGGATACACAAATCATAAAGCCAGCTGGACTGAATGGTTTTAAGAAGCCATTAAAGGCTTCTATATTTATTGAGGCAGTAGTGCAAAAGCTACCACTGACATATTGAGGGCACTGTGCTCCATATGAACCTACTTTAACTTTTACGTTCTTTCCTTGACTCTCATTCACGTCACAGTCAAAAACACACACACAATATATGGCAAAACAGAGCCCCTGTGGCAGACCACGTCTTTTTCTGAAATGAAACTGAAGGGCTTTTCTCCTTGGTAATCTAGATTTTTAAGTGGTTGAACAGGAGATTATGTTTATTTCACTCCCAAGTAGAAAATACTTACATCTCTAAGGTCTTCCTTACAAAAATTGACACAAAGTAAAAGCAGCACTCTGAAAGAAAAACTAGGAGAAGACCAGATGTCCAGCATGAATAAATCAGTGTAACTCCTCACAAGTCTATGCAGTCACAGTGATTCACACAAACTGCAGATCTGGCCCTGTATTCCTAGATGTCCTGATTAACTATCATAAGGAAAGTTTTTTAACTCTTCAGAATATATATATATCTTTGAATCCCTGAAGGTACTGGAGATAAAGTTTTGTGCAAGTGCAAATCTGCAGTCTGCACACCCAAGGAACCATCAGGACCCAGAACCCCTCTTCTTCTGGGAGACTTCTCTTGTATACGGAGCTCCTGTATACAAAGGAAAAGAGGAATCTCAGATTTTAACTTACTCCAGCTACTTCAAACATAGCAGGAAAACAGGATTTTCCTTCATTTCCCAACTCCAGCTTTGTACTTAAGTAACAGTGCTGTCCTCCTTCCCCTCAAAGAAAAGTCCCCTGAGCAAAAAAGCAAAGAAATACACACACACAGTATGTTCAAGGCTATGGTTTCGGGACATGGGTACAACTGTGCCTTTTCAGGAAGGGAAGCTGCATGTGCTGTCAGACAGCTGAACAGAAAAAGAACAAGCCATGCCTGTTGTGGGGATAAGGACTTTAGTTCTTTTAATCACATTATGTGACCCCTGTACCTTACATCTAAAGATTGCCTATGACAGCCCAAGCTGTATATCTGGGAGAATATCCCACTCAGAGACCAGCCCCAGGACACTCACTGGCAGCATTACTGATTCTTAAAGGTTGTCCAGACTGCTATATGCTAAAAATGCTCTGAATTATCAGTAGCTTCATCAGTCATACCTGGTCATTCAGAAAAGAAGGAACAAATGCATCGTTTTCTTACAGTGTAGATTTTTCCTTGGTAATTTTATGCAGCTCAACTATTGAAACACAGGAACCTAAATCTTACTGCTAAATATCCACCATATTTCTTTAACCAGACAAATAAATCACAGATATTATGATGGCTTAAAAGAGCTGGCTAAAGATAGATTCTTCATGTACCTATATCTCCAGAAGCCATCACTACAGATCACTGAATCCAGAGAAAGCTGAATGGCTTCACCATAACTTCTTTTAATAACTGTCCTAAATATAAATATAACTATTTCCTTAATGTACAGAACATTATTTATTAAACTGCCAGTCTTCACAGGAACAAGGAAGTGTATCCTTATACAGAGGGAAATCTGAATATTTTTGCAATGAATGTTGCAGTGTCAGGTTCCTTTAACGTGATACTGCACATTTTAGCATATTTTTTCCTATCCTGGAGTACTTCAGGACAACTAAAAGTCTTGATTGCAAACATCATCAGGTTCCATAATACCTGTGACAGCGTGCAAGCAAAGATTAAGTACATATTACAGAGATGAAGACAGAATATTTATTTTTCTTTATTTCTCTTAGTGCATACTATTATAACTCACAATTGTCACCTCCCATGTTTTTGTAACAGCACAACATTCTTAAACAATGGGTTAAAAAATTGCTGAGACAGATCCTTTCTTTTGTACTTCTTCAGAAGACTGGAATATTGGTCCTCTGCCTCTTGCTGAGGTCACTTGATTGACACTTTAACACTGGAATTTTTTTGATTTCCCACCTCAGTCCAGTTACGTAGACCTAATTTCCCCTGTGAGGTGAAATGGTTCTTGTTGGAACCACAAGCTGGATATGAGAATTCTGAAAACCCACTCTTCATGTGCTAGACAATCATTTATCAAATTAGCCACTGGGAACATCTGCCATTAAATACACTGTGGGACAAATGGCTCTTCTGTAAATTGCAAAACTGAAATGGAACTCGTTATTGCCTCATGCACTACTCATTAGCAACATGATTTATATCAAATGCCAAAATATGGGTCAGATGTAGATGTGCTGTTACTGATTGCTTAGACACTATCAACTGTCTCAGCAAAAAAATCCCTTAAGAATTGTATGCTGTCACTGGGTAGCTACCACTCTTATAATTAACAACTACTGAAAGAATAATAAATGTGCCAATGACTCTCAAAATGATTATCACTACTGCAGATAATAATTTAGAATAAAAAAGAGATTAAAAAGCTATATGTGTTTAAGCATCTCTGCTTGTGCATTTTCATTAATAGTCAAGCAACCTTTTTCATCAGCAAAGATGTAAAAAGCAGTGACACTTATTTATGGAGAAATACATTTGCCCATGCTTTGAAATTTCTCTTGTGTATGTTTTCTATTGTACCTATTCTCCTCTCAACTTTTTGTCTCCTGAGTGGCTTTACAAGTGAATATTTACTAGAGTCTCCTTTACTCCAGTAAAACTAAATAGAAACAACTATCAAAGTATGCTACTTTTCCCAGATCAGATGTACTTATTACTGCAAGAATGTTTTATTGTGATATCATGCATTGTTTCTTTTCCTCCTGCCTTCAGAGAGCAGATATGCCTAAAACTATTAAGTGCCAGGAGATCTCAGATCAAGAAAACAGGGATTAATGAATAGGACCTTTTAAGCTTCTTTCTCCCTTCTACACCTTTCCCTCTGGGAAGCACATCTTCAGCTAGTTTAGACAGCAGAAGAAACAGCTGTGTTGCCTAAGGAAAGAGATGTGAAAACACGGAAATGCCTATAGCCACAGACCATCATGCATTTTCAACCATCAGCAAACACACTGGCTTGCGATGAAAGGATTATGTGAGGTCCCCCAGTCATGTTTCCTGTCCATGATAGCAGATAGCCATTGAAGTGAGGTGTATGCCATGTAATTAATCTGCTATCATGGCTGTGTCCTGAGCTGAACAAAGGTAGAAAAGCAGGGTACTGCCCAATCTATCTGCAGACATTTCATCTCCGTTCCTACGGTGGGAGCAGGCTAACACTTGCATATGTCATATGTCCAATAATTTGAAGAGAAGGGGAACAGGAACGTGGGGATGATCTTAATATAGAATTCAGACAATACCTCCCAGCGAGAAATTCTCACTTTTGCCACAACATAGGTCAAGCCATTTAAATACTCCCAACCCCACAATTTGCCTTTTTTAAATGGGACTAAACACATTTTCCTAGGTTCCTAACTCTATCACTCTTGTTCTGTCTCATGCCCCAGGCTCCAGCTGCATTAGAGACAAGCTGTTTTGTCTTTCCTTTCTCTCTCCACTTTGATGTTATTAGGGTAGCACTGAGAACATAGAGGACTGTGCAAGAGCAGAGGTATAAAAAATGGCTGGAGAGAGCAACCACAGGGAAAATCTCATTCAACCCCTACATCATGGCCAGCCATGCTGTGGGTAAGCCAGTCAGCACTTCAAGAATTAGCTGCATACTGGATATTCTCAGCTGGACCTTTTTTTTCTTCCCTAGTTTATTGCCAAGAAGCCTCTACTGATCACGCAAATGCCAAGATTTTAGGGAAGGTTACAACTTCACCAAATGTGAGGGTGTGGAAATGAGGCACCCTCCCTACTGCCACATGCAAAATGGACAAGAGTGCTTGGCCGTCATCTCCCTTCCCCAGAGCAGCATGGCCATGCTGACCACTGCGGCTCAACAGCAGCGGCTCTGGGAGCCTCCCCCAGCTACTCCGTTGTCTTCAGGAGGGCTGCACTGCCTGAAGGACCAGGAGGCTGAAGGACCAGGAAGGCTGATCTGCACATGGGTTAGAGGCCCAGCTAAAGTGGGGAATGGCCGGAGTGCGCAGCCCTCCTGGGCCTCTGGACGGAGGCAGTGGGGAGAGGCAAGCGTTGTGGTGGGAGTCTGGCAGCTACCGGCTGGACCATGGGGCCGCTGGTCACAGTCTGCAGGCCCGTCTGTGGGAGAGGAGGCTGAAAGAGAAGCCTGCCAGGGCTGAGGGTTTGCTTGTGGTGTGCATGTATTTGGATTCCATAGGAGGACTCACCTGAGCTGGAAGGGGACTGGACGTTTGTGGTGCCTGGGATGCAGTGCTGAGTCGTGGCTGTGGTAGAGGTAGGCTGCAGATCTGTGTAGAGAAACAGAGACACAACAGCTGCTTTGTCTTACCATGACACTAGGGCATGTCCCGCATGGCCAGTCTGCCATCAAGTCTGAAACACCCTCTCTTGTTAAACACACAAAGGGAAACAGCTGGCTTTTCTGCCTACGAAACGAGGCAACAACGCAGAAGAAACAGCCCCAAATCATCCCCAGGAAACCCAGCAAAGGCAACAGAAACACTCTTCACATCTCTTAGGGAAAATGGACTTCAGGAAACAAAGTGGCAAGGCTCCACCAAGCCTGCCCTGGCTTCAGATAGTGCCGGTAGCTGGCAGTCACCAGTAGAGGATGGATGGTGGCCCACTGGACAGAAACATATGGGGAAACAGGGCGATCCCAGTCTTTTGGGAGAGGTGCAGGCAGCACGCAGGAACTTTGTCTGCTTCTGGTGGCAGCAAGAGATTTTGCTCCCAACAGAGCAGCCTGTCTCCTGTCCTCACCCTCCTGCCCTCAAGCTGGGCATTCCTCCAAGCTCAGTCCAGGTGTAATGGAGCAGGGCCAGCTGAAAGCTTTGTGGCCAGCTGGAGGCTTGCAAGCAAATTTTGTTCACACCCACTGGGCTACCCCACAGTGGAGCTTCGCTGTTCAGTTCTGTAGCAGGAATTGCAGTAGCCTTAAAAAAAGAGAGCTGTGGCAATCCATCCTTCTCAAAGAGCAGCTCTCCTTTAACGTCTACAAGAATCAAGGACAATGTGCCAAAGACTTATCCCCAGAAACAGGTATTCAAGCAGAGGGTTTTAGCTAGCTTTTGCAACTGTTTTTTTTTTTTTTGTTTTTTTTTTTTTTTTAGCAGATACACAAAACGAGACTGTATTTGTTCATACACACATCCTGACTGAGGTATATATTTATTTTTACACTAGAAGAACATTTGTAAATGTGACAAGACCATTTGATGAGTTACTAAATTGAAAAGGAAATGCAATCTTAAATTACTTCTTAGGTCCTGAAAACAATTAGCAAGCAAATATCTTGTTCTCCAGAGGGTGAACTCGTTAACCATTGTAAAAGCCTTTCATATGTTTGGAACAAGAGTCCTTGCAAAGGAATAACAATTGCAAACAACTGTCCTGTGAGGTCTATCAGGAGGGCAATGGTTACCCTTCTCAACTGCAACTCCATCAACTCTTCTTAGTCTACAAATGAAAAAGCAAATATCCATGGACATATGAGAGAGGACTAACAGATCCCAAAGAACTGGCCCTCAAGTCCACCCATTTCTCCTGGAGGGAAACGAGCTAATGGAGACAGAACAGTTTACCCTCAATAGCCAAGAGATAAATAGATTGGGTACTGACTGCTTTTGTGTCAATGAAACTAAGAAATTGATGGCATTGCCTTTTCACAACTTTCCTAATGATTTTCCTGAAATGGCAGGTGGGTCACAAATCTAGATTGTTAGCATCAGCAATTGATTTCCAGCTGCTGGCACATAGACTTTTGTTTCGTAGAGCTCATGTGCTTTGGATCCTGTAGCATCCCTGTAAGGAAGACAGACACCTTTGCACAATGCTCCAGCTATGCACAACTATCTGGAAGAGACGCAATGGTTTACTAGTCTTCCAAAATAAGAGGACATACAGACAAAATTTTCCAGTGCAAACATGGAAAGGCAAGGAAGAAGAAATGTTTGGGCATATGTCAGAATGCAACTGTAAGCATCCACTGGTCCCTTCACACCAGCGATCCTACACAGGGAAATGCAGCGCACTGCACAGTTCTCTGGCTGCGTTAGTTGTGCAGCATCTGGCAGTTCCCGAATAACCACTGCTTGTCTTACAAAGCCCAACTTGAGCTTTAACTGTGAAAAAGCACTGGAGTCCTCTATGTTAAAGGTACAAAGAAAATGTCGCTTCTAATCAGAAAGCAATACTAATTTATGATGTTGAATTTTTACGTAATTTTTTAAAATTGCATGCTAAAGTGACATAGAACACTTTTGCAAAAATTCCACAATTCACTGAAAAATGGGAGTTAGGAAAATGTATCCTATTACAAGAGGTTCGAAGGGACGAAAAAGTACACAAAACAATTGTGATTCCTCACAGTTTAGGATTATGTAAAACTGGACAATTCTGATGGCTTCTGCTGACAAATAACACATGGGGAGTTTAATCCTACTCTTAGTTGAGTGAAAGAGCACATGCCAACT